GGGTGATGCTCACAGGTGCAGGGTGATGCTCACAGGTGCAGGGTGATGCTCACAGGTGCAGGGCGATGCACACTCCTGTTTAGTGAGACCTCTGCTGGACAGGTTGCTGCTCTGTGCCCCTGAGGATAGGATTGTGTGTCTTCCATCAGAGATGGCAACGGTGTTATCAGCTCACTTGAACTGCTGCTGACTGTTTCTGGAATATTAAGTGACAGTGGTCTACCAGGCCTGGGTGAACAGACCGCAGGTGGGGGGGGGCCGGGGCGGGGGGCGGTCTGGCAAATGCAGGCAGGCGTCCCAGGAGCCACTGCAGCCTGGATCACACCACTGGGAGGATCTGTCTCCAGACAGTTCTCACCAAGCCTTGTCCTCAGGGCTGGGCGTGGTGGCCCACGCCTTTAGTCCCAGTATTTGGGGGAGGCATAGGCAGAAGGATCTCTGTGAGTTCAAGGCCAGCCTGATCCGCATAGCCAGCTCCAGGCCAGCCAGGACTACACAGTGAGGCCTTTTCTCAAAAACAACAAAAGAGACCTCTCCAGTGACCAGGCCTGCTCCACCCTCAGTGACCACGGACCCCCCACCCGACGTGCACGTGAGCCGTGTTGGGGGCCTGGAGGACCAGCTGAGCGTCCGCTGGGTCTCACCACCTGCTCTCAAGGACTTCCTCTTCCAAGCCAAGTACCAGATCCGCTACCGAGTGGAGGACAGCGTGGACTGGAAGGTGCCCGTCCCGCCCCGGACCCGCCCCTGACCCCGCCCCCCGCATCTGACCCCTCCCTCACCGTGCAGGTGGTGGATGACGTCAGCAACCAGACCTCCTGCCGCCTAGCGGGCCTGAAGCCCGGCACTGTGTATTTTGTCCAAGTGCGTTGTAACCCATTCGGGATCTACGGATCGAAAAAGGCGGGAATCTGGAGCGAGTGGAGTCACCCCACCGCTGCCTCCACCCCTCGAAGTGGTGAGCACCTCTCCGGGGCCGGCTGGCCCCACGGGAACCCCATTCCAGCCTCTCTCTCTCTCTCTTTTTTCTTTTTGAGACAGGATCTCAGGTAGCCCAGGTGGCCTTGAACTCACTATGTAGCCAAGGATGACCTCGAACGCCTGATTCTCCTGTCTCTGCTTCCAGACAGGGTGCTGGGCTGACAGGCAACCGCCACCACAGTCTTGAGGCTAGCCATGCCACAGCCATGCCACACTTGTGGCTCCGGACTCTATTTAGCCTGTCGTTTGGATTGGCGAGGGGTGGGAAGCAACAATGTGACCTATTGTAAGAAAACTGAGAACAGGCTGTTTTCACCCAGATCTCCCAGAGTCGCCAGAAGAGTGAGCTTTATATAAACGAGAACGTCACAGACAGTTAGTGCATGGTGCCCGGCGGAGGGTCCCACACCGAGACCCCTGCCTTGTGTCTTCCACGTGGGCTCTGCTGCTAGCCACCCCCCCACCATGATGTAAGGTAGCCTTGGCTGCCTGAACATTTGGGATCTCCTCGCCTCAGCTTCCTGAGTGCTCAGAAACCAGGCAGGAGCCCCCACTTTTGAGTCCCTTTCTCAAGATGGGAGGGCTTGAGGCTCCTTCTGAGCCGTGGACATGCATTCCCTCCTATGAAACACATTGCCTGGAATGCCTGACCTCAGTTTCCCTATCTGTCCAAGGCTCGTGCCCCCCTTTAGTATTTGCAGGCAGTTGAGGAGGCCCCCATTCCCTAGCCCCCTCCACCGGTCCCCCAAGAGGGAAAGGATGCTTTTTCTCTCATGAGGACACGGAAACTGAACTCACACAGACACATACACTGTTTGGTGATGATGAGATAATGGGGAAACTGAGTCCCGGAGGGAGTCCTAGAGGAAGAGAGGGTCAGAACCAGCTCTTGCAAGCTCTCCAGCCCCCATCCGGGCCCCTCCAGGTTCTGGGCTGGGCGGGAGGGAACGCAGTCGGGAGGGGCCGGAGCCTTGGAGCTTTGGCCCTCGCTCGTGCCCAGCACCTGCGATTCTTGCACGGGAGCCAGGAGGCGGCTGCGTCCGCCCGGGAGACTGGGGAGGCCGGGGGTAGGGTGCGGGGGAGGCAAGCAGGGGCTGTGGGGGCCGAGGCCGTGCCAGGGCCTGTCAGCGAGTCCCCAGCTTTATTTATGACGTGAAGCCGATGTCCTTATCCGCTGGCCTGCTGGGGGATGGCTGCGCCTGGGGGTTGGACCCGGGGCCGGCCTCCACCTGGCCCTCCCAGCCCACTCCGCGTCACACCCGATCGGTTTCTCAGGCTTATCTTGGGGACCTGCCCCGTGAGCTGTGCTTGCTGCCTCCCTCGGTGTCTGTCACCCGCTTTCCCAGAGCCTTTGCTTTTTTTACACTTTCGTGTAATTAAACAACTCCTGAGATGACTTGTTTTGGTCTGGCGTGTGTGCTTGGTGAGCCTGCGCGCCACAGCACACATGTGGGGGTCAGATGAGCACTTCTGTGAGCAGGCTTCTCCCACCGCGTGGGGCCAGGCTGGTGGCAAGCGCGGTCCCGGCCGACTGAGCCATCTAGCCAGCGCCCCCGCCCTGTCTCCCTCTCTGGCTCCCCCTCTCCCTGGAAAGTCGCAGGTAACCCAGGCTGGCTTTGACCTCGCAGCGGTCCTGCCTCAGACTGCCAGTGCTGGGTGACAAGCTTGTGCCACCGCGCTGGGGGAGGGACCGGGGGCGCGGCCCGGGCTCTGCCTTCCCGCTCTGTCTGGTCCCACCTCGTTCCCATTGCTTCCTTCCTTTCCGACCGAATGCCCGGGTTTGCCCCCCACTAACTTGGCCCTCCTTGCCCGTCTCCATCGCCATCCCGCTGGGTGATGCCCGCCCGGGTCCACACCTGACACCCTCTCCAGCCTCCCCGCCGCCGCCGCAGGGCTGGGGTGGGAGGCCGCGGCTCCGCCCGCGTGCGCCCCCTGCCGGCCGCGCCCCGACACTGCTGCTCCACTCTCTTTAGAGCGCCCGGGCCCGGGCGGCGGGGTGTGCGAGCCGCGGGGCGGCGAGCCCAGCTCGGGCCCGGTGCGGCGCGAGCTCAAGCAGTTCCTCGGCTGGCTCAAGAAGCACGCGTACTGCTCGAACCTCAGCTTCCGCCTGTACGACCAGTGGCGTGCTTGGATGCAGAAGTCACACAAGACTCGAAACCAGGTAGGAACGTGGGGGAGGTTCGCGCGGGGGTGCGGGGGTGGAGGAGGGGCACCGGGGTGCAGCCTCCACGACACTGCGCTCTTCTTTCCAAGCACAGGACGAGGGCATCCTGCCCTCGGGCAGACGGGGCACGGCGAGAGGTAAGAGGGTCCTGGTGCGCGTGGCCTGGGGCAGTCTGCAAGACCCCTTCCCGCCCTCAGGGTGCCCGAATGGCAGCTCTCCTCTCATCACTTACTTAGCATGTATGAGCACCTACTGCATACCAGCCTCGGGCCAAGCACTCTGCTGCATGATCAACCAAGGTGAGGAGAGGGACACAGGCTTAGTGTGGTCTCTTTTCTGCTCTCAGGCCCTGCCGGATAAACTCTAAGAACAAGCCATCCTCCTGCCTCTTGCAGACCCGGAGGCTCGCCCCTGCTCCTCTGGACTCGCTTCGGGGGAACCGGAGAAGCATCACCAGGGGCTGGGGCGAGCAGAGTGAGCTCCCACTGCCACAGATCTGGTCCGCACGAGGGTCAACCTTGGGTGTACCCCAGTGTGGACACGGCTGGAGTAATGACTTTGGTGACCCAGGGTCCTCCAAGAGTCTCCTTAAATAAAAGGGTTGTTCGGGTCCTCTGATGGCGTGTTGGAGGCCTGTGTGGTCTGGGGGATCGGAACATCCTCCACCCCAAAAACCAGTCCTGTGTTCCAGGACACTAGACTACCTGTCCTCAGCTCCTCAGGGGGAAGCAAGTCTTCCACCTGCGGACTGTTCCCCGGGGGACGCCCCCCAGTCGCCGGACTCCACACCCCAAGAGACAGAGCTGATGGGAACGCTGCAGAGGGAGAATTCTTTATTTTGTGAGGCGCGCTGGAGGGCAGCCCGGCGGGGCACGACCCCAGCCAGCTGGCGGTCAGGGCTGGGCTGGACGCCATGGGCCTCTTTTCCCATCTTCCTCTGGTCCCTTGGGAGCCGCCCTCACTCTGCAGATTCGGCATCAAACCTGAGTTCCTGCAGAACCTCGCTGATCGCCTCCATGGTTTTAATTACCCTACAAGAGCGGATGGAAACTATAAATAAAACCCAGATGGGGTGAATTAGCTGAGCCGCACGGCTAGCAGGGAGGGGACCATGGCAGGCCCTGGGCCCTCCCGCCTGCCGCCAAACCTCAGGCGCGGCCTGGGAGCATGCCTGGGAGGCAGGGTGGCTTGGGGGGTCACAGTGGGCTCATGGGAAAGGCCGCGGTGGGGGGAGGGGCGCTTGGAGACCCGCGATAGAACTGCAGGGGCGCACACAGGGGAGCAAGCGTGCCTCTGGCCACGTTCAAACTCCCGAGAGCAGCGGAAACTGCAGGCGACATGATGATGCACATCCTGGGGAGCATGCATCTAAGAACGCCAGTGTGCAAATCAGAGCGCCCTCTTCCACGGGGCGGGTCAGCGCTGTGCTAACCATGGCCATGTGGTGCCAATCTGAGGTGTTGGGCTCAGGGGCCCACAGGGCTCACTTTATTTTCAGCTGGCGCAACTTTTCAGGGTCCTCCTGTCCTGACACTCCTGGTGTCCCCATCACCTGCAGCAGCGCCACCTGGAGGAGCAAATGGGCGTCACAAGGCAAAAGCCACATTGCCCTTTCTCAGCGGATCAAGACAGAGAAGGCCGACCAGGAGCAGAACCTCGGAGAGTGGAGCTTGAGTGTGTGGGTGTGGGGGGGTGGGTCGCGTTTGGGGCTCTCCTGTGGAAGGGCAGTAGAGAATATGGACATAGCTCGGAAAAGCCAGGGATGGGTGGCAGGTGTGGCCCCCAACCCAGAGTCAGAGCAGGGCGTTATAATTCCAGGATGGAAATAAATCTGGAACTCAAGGCAGGGTTTGGGGTTCTGTACTATGAATTCTAGACCGAAGAGCGATGTGGGCGTGGCTGCCAGTGGGCGAACCCTTCCCTACTAGGATTGGCTGTAGGGTAAGGGGAGGTGGCGTCTTGGGATCTGCGTCAAGGGACCTAGGAAGTCTGTTTCAGGATGTTTGTGGAGGACGTAGCTTGTGGGTCCCAACAGTGATAACCCAGGAGTAGAGAGAGAGCCAGTGTTGAGGCCACGGGGTTCTTGGGAGGGCTTTCCAGAGGGACTGGAGTAATTAAGCAGAACCTGGGCGGGGACTGTAGGCAGACGGCGGGACAGGGCCCAAACGCACCGAGGTGCAGCAGAAAGTAGTGGCCGGGGTGGCCGGGAAGGGGCTGTGGCCCATGCCCCACCCTGAAGGAGAGGCGGCAGTCTTACTGTGGCCAGGCGCGTCTGTTCCAGCTCCTGCAGGCTGCGCACGTGGCGAGCGAGCATCAGCTGCGCGCGAGGCCCCGCCAGTTCCGCTTCCACCGCCAGCACCTCCCGCGAGGCGGCGGCGAAGACCTGGGTCACCTCGTGCACGACGCTCCGATAACGCGGGAAGTCGTGGTGCTGGCCACTGCGCAGGTACTGGCGGTGAGCTCTGCGGTGGGCGGGGAGGGTGCTGAGCCCATGGCCCCGGCTCACACTCCCTGCTCCAGCCCTGGAGACCCACCAGCTAGACAGACCGGAGAGGGGCCAGGGCGGACCCCCCTCTGCACCCGGAGAAGACAGGGGCCCTGGCCGCGGGTCACGCCCCTCAGGCCACACCCCCTTCTCCGGCCACAGCCCCAGCTCCACCCAGCTCCTCCAGGTGGACGGTTTCTTCCGAGTTTTCAGAACCGCCACCCACGGCTCTGCCCCGCCCGTCCTAGACCACGCCTCCGAGTACCCGGGACCAGGTCTCCGCGGCCTCCCGGCTCTCCGGCCACGCCCACAACCGGGTCCTTCTAGCCACGCCCCTAGCCATGCCAACTGCGTCGCCGCAGGTCCCGGCCGAGCGGCGACCCCGGTCCCACCCGGGCCAGCTCCCCAGGCCCCGCCCCGTGCAGCCCGCCGGCTCACTGGTCCAGGCGGCGGAAGGCCTGCGCGCGTTCATTCTGCAGCTGCTGGATCCTCCGTACCAAGGTGGCGATCGGGGCGTCTCTCTGTGGGGGGTGGGGCCATGAAGCCGGACCCCTGAGCCCACCCCGCCGCCCCACGCCCGTCCTGCCCACGCCAGGGCTCACCCAGGCCCACGGCGGCTCCGCAGATCCGGGGGCGTCCGCAGTAGTCGGCACCTCTGCGGTGGCGGTGAGCATGACTGCGCAATCCGGCGGCGCTTGGGAACGGCCGCAGCGCCCCCTGCCGGCCGGGAGGCCCACGCCCGTCGCGCGCGCACCTGGCTGCCTTTGAGTTCTACTATAGTTGGTTCCAGGACTGCATCTGCCGATCCTCGCGACAATCGTAGATCAAATAGGGCCACAATCGTAGTATAAGGTCACAGGAGTCCCCAATGTATTCCGGCATGAGTGATGGTAACGCAGTATAGCTGGGGGCTAACCGATGTCTCCGCGCCTGAGCACGGGTTGCTTTTGCAGGACTGGACCGAATGCCAGCACCCACACACGAGTAACTAAAATCCCAGGGGATCCAGTGCCCTCTTGATTTCATGGGGCATCAAGCAATCACGCAGTGCACACAAAACATTCACATAAACCTTTAGAATATAGCTGGACCTTCTGTGAACTGGACCTGTGCGAAGGCTCTGGGGCAGAGGCGGCACCAGGTCTAGCTGATGGAGGACGCACCGTGACTGCGGGTTCTCCTGGCACACCACGTTCAAACTGCACAACCCTTCAAATGCCGAGTTGAGCTGGATTCCTGACTTCCACATCAATGAAGATGTGGAAGATGGAAACCCTTGCCCCCTTAAGACTACAAAGTCGGACTGGAGATGGCTGAGGTTGAGAGCACTGGCTGCTCTTCCAGAGGTCCTGAGTTCAATTCCCAGCACCCACATAGTGGCTCACAACCATCTGCAGTGAGATCTGGTGCCCTCTTCTGGCCTGCATAATAAATAATTTACTTTTTTTCTGTTTTTTTTTTTTTTTTTTTTTTTTTCTCCTTGAGACAGGGTTTCTCTGTGTAGCTTTGCGCCTTTCCTGGAACTCACTTGGTAGCCCAGGCTAGCCTCAAACTCACGAGATCCACCTGGCTCTGCCTCCCGAGTACTGGGATTCAAGGTGTGCGCCACCATCATCCAACAATAAATAAAAGACTACAAAGTCAGTGATTCTCACATGTTCATGTACAACAAAAACTCTAAGATGGATCAACTAGCTTCAGGACCACATAACCACGGTGTGCACTGCAGCATGGGCCTGTGGTCCCAAAGCCCAGGAGGGGAAGCCCCAGGGCTGTGATTGACATAAGGCTGATCTCTTCATCTGGAACTGGCGTATGGACACTGGGTTGGGTGAGCTGCCTCTCCACACAGACCATCGTCCCCACCCCCGACTGTGTGAGTGCAAGGTCACTTGGACATGATGGGGACAGTGGGCCCAGGCGGGTCTCCTTTGCTGCTTCCACACACTAGGGCAGAACAGAACCTCCCCCTGGCAGCACTGTGGGCCCCACCTTTGCAGGGGCTCAGGTGACTTAAGTTTTAACCCACTGGTCCACCTTCCTAGCACCTTCCTTCCAGAAGCAGCCGTTCAGATGTGCAGATGGAAACCACGTGCTACCAGCGGGGTGCGGCAGTGGCACATGCCTGTGGCTGGCAGGTTGCAGGGCAGCCTGGTCTACATGGTAAGATCCCCGTCTCACTGGGAACCCGCCTCCCAGCCCATCCCCGAACAGAAGAGCCACTCAAGACACCAGTTACTGCTCCAGTCGATGGAAGGGGACTTTATTTGGTCCCGGGGTCATGGGCCAGGTACGGCCCCAGCTTTATTTGACCTTCTTCTTGGGGCGCAGGTTGTTGGTGTGGCCGCACTTCTTCTTGCGGCAGTTGACCGCACGGGGGTGCAGGCGTGCATAGCACTTGCGGCAGATCATCTTGTCACAGTTGTACTTCTGGGCGAGCTGACGAAGGGACGGCTCGATGATGCCACCACGCAGGCGCAGCACCAGGTGCAGGGTGGACTCTGGGAGGAGGACAGAAGCTGAGCCCTGCCCCAGCAGCTCGGGGAAGACCCCAGGGAAAAACTCCTCAAGAGGCTCCCCACACTGCTACCAGAGGCCAGGCTTCCCTTGAAGGACGGAAACCAAGTCCATCTGCTTTTGTCATGTACTGGGGCCTGAAGAGGGAGCTGAACACCAACCCGGGAGGCAGCTGGGAGCCACCCCAGTGCTGGGAGCATTGAGGTCCTGTGGGAACACAGGTCAAAAACAAAACAAAAAACCAAACACGAAAAGTGTCCAGCTGTGGCCAGCCTGACACCATGAGGTCCTGCCCCACAGACAGACCCTGAAAGCATCCAAGTGCTGTGACGTCTCCGCAGTCCCACCAGGTCCTTTTCCTTCCAGGCTGCGTCCTGCTGACACACCCAGTGCTAGGCAGGCAGAGGCTCAACAAAAAAAACCACACAAAACAAAAAGCTGCCATGTGACCCAGCATTCAGGAGGCAGGGGGATCTCAAGTTCAAGGCTGGACTCTGCAGAGAAACCCTGCCTCAAACAAACAAGGGGGTGGGGGTGGGGTGGCACGCAAACACCCAAACCCAAAGATCTGACCACCTCAAAAGTGAACAGGCATTATGGCTCACACCTGCAACCCCAGCTCTTGGAGCAACACTGCGGGGCCAGCCTGGGCTAAAGCTGATAGCTCAAAAGGAGTAAAGGCCTGGCAAGTAAAGACACACCATACACGGGTGCAAGGTAACTGACTCCTCACGTCCACCCACGGCGGCCACACACACCCGTGGCAAATGAAGAGGGGCAGGACGTGCCACTGCCGGGCGACTGGAGCACCACTTCGGGCCACCCCTTACCTTTCTGGATGTTGTAGTCCGACAGGGTGCGGCCATCCTCCAGCTGCTTGCCGGCAAAGATCAGCCTCTGCTGGTCTGGTGGGATGCCTGCGCACAGGAGGAACCAGGCTGGCGGCAGCTCCTCCCTGCGGGAGCTGGGGCCACCCCAGGGCCGGCTCGGCACCCGGCAACGCCGCCCCCGCAGCCCAGCCCACCTTCCTTGTCCTGGATCTTGGCCTTGACATTCTCGATGGTGTCACTGGGCTCGACCTCAAGAGTGATGGTCTTGCCCGTCAGGGTCTTCACAAAGATCTGCATGTCGGCGTCTGCTCGGCGGGGGAAGGAGCCCGCCCGTTAGATGCGCTTGTGCGTGGGTCTCTGCCCGAGCGCGCCCAGTGCCCGCCTTCCACTCCCGGGGGGCTGGCGGTTCCCCTGCCCTCCGGAAGACCCCGCGCCACTGTGGGCTCGGTACCCCGCCCGAGCACCCCGCCCTGGAAGCGCCGCCCGTCCTGCACCTCCGGGACCCAGGCAGCCCTCGGGGCCCCCGGCCGAGCCCCGCCGCCACCCGGAACCACACACGCAGCCGTGTGGACCGGACG